TTTGAATGATGAGGTCAACACGCGCTCTGCACGCACTGCAGAGCATATCCCGCCAGACGGCGTTCCAGTCCCGGCGGCGCATCACGACCTCAGTATTCCGCCGACAAAGCAGCCCCGCCACCTCCAAACCTCCCGTGCAGTCGACGGCCGCTTCAATCCCGACCCCAGGCCAGCCCGCACCCGCGCGCGAGGCACCACAAGCCGCATCCTCCCCTTCAGCGCCCGACGTCCCCCTCCGCTCCCTCTCCGAAGGTCTCGACGACCCCCTCCCCGCCCCCGACGAGGACGAATCCCGCGTGGACTGGACGCGCTCGTTCCACGGCCTGTCCTCCGCGCCTTTCAGCCCGGAAGCCAACGCGATCCTCCAAGAACCCCTCGGCTATGACGACATCGAGATCAAGCCCGACGGCATCGTGTATTTGCCGGAGATCAAGTACCGGCGGATCTTGAACAAGGCCTTTGGGCCGGGCGGTTGGGGACTCGCGCCGCGGGGCGAGACGATTGTCACGCAGAAGCTGGTCACAAGGGAGTATGCGCTTGTTTGCGCGGGGAGGTGAGTTGTCTTGCTTACGGGAATGGTGAAGGGGGGAAGACTGACGGGACTAGGCTTGTGTCGATCGCACGAGGCGAGCAGCAGTACTTCGATCCCGACGGTATTCCGACTGCGACGGAGGGGTGCAAGTCGAACGCTCTCATGAGGTGCTGTAAGGATCTGGGTATCGCGTCGGAACTGTGGGACCCGAGATTCATTCGCAAGTTCTTGGCGGAGAGGGGAAAGGAGACGATCGTGGAGCATGCGGTCACGAAGAAGAGGCGGAAACACTGGATGCGCAAGGACGATGTGATCAAATACCCCTTCAAGGAGATCCCGACCCCGTCTTCGAGCAGGTAGCGCGTTCAGGGGAGTAACGCAACTGCAGACCCCGAAGTTTGGGCTCAAAGACGACAGCTGGAATGCACGTGTAATGAGTCACTAAATCCACAAGTGGGCAGGCAGCAGCGAGATTCGCGACGAGTATGCCGATACCCGGCTTACATCTAGCAATTGTAACAATACCTAAGGACCGTAGCATTTGATACCAGGAAAGCGAAACCTCACTCCATGACCCATGCAAATCTGTTCGATCCGCTACTGCTCCTTCTTCACAGCAGGCGCAGCGCCCTTTTCACCAGGATTACCCCAGATCCACTTACTCCATCCCGCCTGTCCTTCTACAGGCTTCCTGGAGCCTTGAGGCACATACTCGTTGGCGAGGTCCTCAAACTCTGCTTCACTCTTAGACTTTTTCAGTGGCTCAAACATACCCGGCGGGCTGCTCGGCTTGCCGGGCTCTGTCTCGCTCGCCGCATGATCAAAAGCTTGCAGGAGTGTCTGTAGGCGATTACGTTGTGTGCTGATATAGTCGGCTCGCTCCGCGCCTGTAATGTGCGACGGGATCAAGTCGCCTGACGCAGTGAGGTCTCTGGCCTGGACATCGCGAGAGCCCGAAGCAGCTGTCGCCTGCTGCATGACGTTGCCCAACATGCCCAAAAGATCTGGAGCGCCAGTGCCGGGGAAGTTGCCAGGGCGGGCAGTAGGCATGGCGAAACGACTGAGCAGCGATTGACTATAAGACACATTTCGGCTCGACGGAGGGGTAGGTTGTCTAGGCGGTAAGCCGAAGACCCTTGTCTTCACAAACTCAATCGCTTGCTGCACATATTCAAGTCCTGCTTTTTTCGCCTTGTCATGACCTTCACTAATGTAGTGGTCAATCTCGCGCTCGTGGGTATCAAGCCACGGGTGGAGATAACGGCGGTAAATGTAGACGGAACCCTGCTGCCCAGGGAGAACGAGATAGAGGTGTACACCGAGTCGTATCCACGAGTAGAAGGGAGTCCACGACAAGATCGGGTGGAAGAAGGATTCACCCGCTAGGAAGAGCGACATTGTGGTCCAATACATGAGCCATGGCGTGAGCTGGGCGGGATCAGAAGTGCGGATGGCTTTGTACGAAGCGAAGACAGGGAAGAGGACCGAAGTCACGGTGCTGTGATCTGTCAGTATGCAGCAGCACAAACAAGGAGCCTTGTACAAACGTCAAGGAGTCTGCAATGATGCCGAACATGATGGAGTAGGATGGAGATAGTGCGCCGAGGGGAACTGCGGGGCTCTAGAGATGCCCGGGGGTACAAGATGAGGGTTCTTGTAGCGCGCAGGGTCAGCTGTGCAAGTCGGCGCCTGATAAGGTGGACAGGTGTCTATTTCAGCGTCAGGCACCCGCTTGGTCAAGACCGAGTGAAGATGATGGGATGCGATGCGGTGCGAGAAACGGAGTCGGATGGCGTCGGCGAACAGCGAGAGCGAGAGCGGGAGGGGCGCAGGCGTTCATCGGGCGGCGTCACGCTGTTGTTGGAGCTGCTGCTGCGGCAAGGTGGGGTCCGTTTGACTCTGACATCCAGCCACGTGACGCCGAAAAATGCCGTGGTTGTCCGCGTCTCTGCGCCTCGTGTCTTGTATTTTCATCTCTTCCATGCCAGATAGCTGCATTGTACCATGGGCATTCCAGGGTTGACGAGGAAGTTAGAGCCTTACGCAGAGCGTGTCCACTTCCAAAAGGATCCACAATCTCGCAATGGTAATCCAGCTCGTCGGCTTGCCATAATAGACGGACCGGCACTTGCCTATCATGTGCTATTCCTCTGTATGGCGCAGAGGACCGATACGGAATCTAGCCTGGACAGTCTCCCCAGTCTTCAAGAACTTTCAAAAGCTACAGTCGTATGGCTTGATGCCCTCTGCTCTCATGGCTTCGAAGTGTAAGTGGATCTGCTGCGCCGCGCTTCAGGTAGGTCGACTTCTCTTATACGGATTAGACGGGCTATATTCTTTGACGGGTTCTTGCCATCGAGCAAGAAGAATGAGCGTGTCTCAAGGCTCCAGCAGAGTATCGATGCTTTACGTCAATTGAGAGCAAATCATGATGATAAACAATTCGGGCACCTTCAGGAGCCCGTAGAGCACCCATTTGATGTCCACACGAAGATCCCTCCCCCATCAAAGACCAAGGCCATCACACCTTTAGGGTTTGTCAGCGCAATATTCCAATTCTTGCTTCGTTCTCGCTTTGCCCTGGCAACCTCGGTGGTGCCGGGAGAAGCAGACCTCTTTTGTGCGCAATCTGCTCAAACACAACCAGCTTTTGTTTTCACTGGTGACTCGGATCTACTTGTCCACAGTCTCGGTCTGCAAGGGGTGGTCGCTTTCTTTAAGGATGTCACATTCTTCGTCAGGAACGGCATATCCCAATTGACATTTTTGAAATTCCACCCTAAAGAAATTGCCGACAAACTCCGTTTACCGGATTTATTTGCTATGGCATATCATGTCAACAAAGACATCCATCGATCAATACCCGATGCGGCTGCATTAGCCAAGAAAGAAGAACCGAATTTGCGTGAGTATAGAGAATTCAAGCGTCTATACGTCTCCGCTACCGAGACAGAATTCGTAAGCTCTCTAAAGAGCCTGGGTTGCAATGAAATTACAGGCATTTGTTATGGCATGGATACACGGATCACGGAGCTCGTTTTTCAACTACGAGTGATGGGGCAATCAGACAATACATCCCAGGAGGGACGGAGGCTGTACATTTTCCTCCCTATTCTCATTGATAATCCAAGGAGAGCTTCCGCCCACCAACCCAGTGCCCCAATCCGACATATATTATACTCGATTCTCCAAGTCATCGATCCGAGCGTATCCTCGGTCTCGGAGTACGATAGAAAGGGCACATCGATCGCTCCCTCCATTATCACCCTCGAAATGGTCGATGGGACTGTCCAGCGCTTAATTGAGCTAGCTCAATGGATCGATGGTGCGCAACAATCTTACAAAGTCCTGCCTCCTGCAGCACGATGGCGCGCTCTCGCAGTAGTGATCGTCTTGGACTCTAAGCGAGAGGCAGAAAAGAAGCTACAGTCACCGAGCTCGGCAAGAGCCTTGATACTCAACGATAAAGAAATCCTCCTTTCTTGGGATATGCTGCATTTCAAAGCGGAGATCCAAGGCGCGCTTCACTGCCTGTCTTTGATGAAGCAAGCCTTGATTTTCATTTCCAGACTTGAGCTGTGGCTGGCTCTTGAGGCCGAGAAACTGGCGGCCCTCGAGCAGCTCAGATCTGCCTTACAGTCGTTACCTCCTATCGCGGAGCTGTATGACTATGTGGACAGCACAAAGGCCATGGCCACTTCTGATACCTTAGAGATTGGAGTTGAGCTGGACTGTCTCGGCACAACAGGAAGGGGCCTCGGGAAGATAGAGAAACGAAAAGCAAAGAAAAGGAAGGGTGCTGCGCTCGTCAAGCAAATGATCGAAAATCATGCTGGACGCCCGGGCTCGAATCTATTCGATGCACTTACGGAGATGAATGAATGAATGAGAAAGAGGATGTTCAGCCGGGCAATTTGAAGATCAATAACGGGGTAACCAGAGGCACTCTGATGCAGATCAGAGACTAGATATGAACATCTCTTATATACTAGCGGTAATATGAGCATACTATAGTGGTCGGGTCTGACACCCAGAGCCCGCGGGCCTTTTATTTCTGTCAATTTACTTCTGTCAAGTAAATGGAACCATGCCGCGTAGGACTACAATCTTCAGACTTCTTTCAAGATGGGCAACAATCTAATCGTGACGCGAGAGAGGTCTGCGAGACCAGTATTGAAATGATCGTTTGCTCTGAATCAGGAATTTATCTATCAAGTATACGGCGTGAAGTGGATTGTAGTTCAAAGAGCTCAATCGCAAAAGCTGGATATTCGGTACGGTCCCATTCAGTGGCCCCTAACGAAGACATCGATAATTACGCTTTTGCTTCAAGATGAAATTGTTTATTCCAATATTTCTAGAGAACATTCGCAGATCCAAAAGTAAAGTGAGCCCAATGGACTGGAAAGGCTGTATTTTCTTGGAGTCTAAGGTATATATATTTTCTAGTCCCCCAGATTAGTGATCAGCTCGTATAGCTCAGTGGTAGAGCGCTCCACTCGTAATGCAAAGCTTCGGCGTTGCCAAAAGATATGGAGAGGTCATTGGTTCGATCCCAGTTTCGAGCACGATTTTCATTTTGCATTTTTGGACTACCAGGGTGACAACCTTGCTATGATATCATAGCATGTATAAAGTTTATTACAAGTGCTCTTAAATTTATACTTGATTTATCTAAAATCTCATCAATCGATATCATTTTGCTGGCTACCAGGACCACTGCTCAACATGGCTGAAACTGCTGGCATCTTCTACGCGGCCGAAACGCTGGTCGAGGGAGCTGTAGCTGCTGCTAAGGGCATATATGACCCTACGCTGCCATTGAAGGTCACTTTGACGCCAGTGAAGGATGTTTCGCTTCCAAGGCATTCGCATACCGTGTCAATGGTCAAGGGCCGGGCGTATATCTTTGGAGGTATCACAACGGGGGCCAATGGCGCTGAGGTAGGCCACAAACTCGAAAGAGGCAAGTTGTAACGGCTGACATAGAAGCAGACCATTGCCGATAATGGCGTCCATGTCATTATACTACCTATCTCTGCTACAGAAGGCTCCGACTACAAGGTGATTCCTGCAGACAACAGCTCCCCAGCCCCTCGTTTCGGACACTCCGCCGTAGTCATCGAAGATCAGATCTTCATATACGGTGGCAGCTCCGACTTGTCTGGCGCCACGCTACTGGACGAGCAAGGTGCCGTCTGGGTATTCGACACCAAGACTAGCAAATGGACGAAACTCATGCCACACGACAATGTCATCCCACCACTGCCAGTACGGCTAGGCCATGCATCAGTGGCAACACCACAACCCCGCAAACCGTCTCGTCGTACAGACGAAGGTCTGATGCCACAGCTTGATGCAGATCCCGCACAACCAGACATTCTCCCGGAGCCAGAAGAAGCTGCCTCGTTTGGCACTCTGATCATCCGCGGAGGACACCCGGGATCAAGCAAAGAAGCCGAGTACGTACCCCTTCACTGTCCAGAATCAGGACTTACTGACTCATACCAGCCCACTAAACGATGTATGGGCCTTTGACATCGGCGCACGAACGTGGTCTTCCCTTCCCAGCCCGCCACAGCTCTCACACTCGACCTCCGCCTCCCTCGCAATAGTAGGCTCAAAGCTCTACACCCTGACCGCAGGACAGATCTACACCATGACCCTCGCGACCCAGACCTTCGACGACAAAGCCGGCCAAGGCGCCCTCGGCATCACCGCATTATCGCCATGGGCTCCCGTATCGCGCTCGGAGTCAGGCGGGCCAGGCAATCGTGCCGGCGCCAGTCTGTACCCCGTCACGACCGGGCAGGGCAGGAATTATCTGCTCCTGCTTGGAGGCGGAGACGGCGCTTCAGGCGATATTTGGACGCTGCAGCTCCAACCTGAGGGTATGACGGCTGCGAGTATCAAGGATGCGGCGAGGATGGCAATTGGGAAAGGGACTGGGGAGAAGGAGTGGGCTGAAGTGCGGTATTTTGACGAGGAAGGGGTCATGGTACAGGAGGGGCAGGATGGGAGGGGAATTGGTGCTAGGAGTGCATTCGCTGCTTGTAAGAATGCTGATGAGGATGGTGGAACGGTGTTTGTGCACGGTGGTCTGGAAGGCGGACAAGTTAGAGGCGATGGTATGTTGGTCTCTGTGAGTATCTAATTGATACATATCCTAAAATGCGCTCCAAAGAAGTGAGTATCGAGGATATCTACATCTTACAAAAGTCATGCGTCATGCAAGTCGTACACTCATATCGGGTCGTGCTCAGCGGTCACCAATCTTTGGACTGGTGCCACTGCGAGGGCTGCCCTCTAGCTCCCCAGGCAAAGCTATATCATCACCCTCGTCCCAAGAAACTTGTGCCCCAGTAAACGATCGAGAGCTCCCGATGAACGTCTCCATTTCCTCGTCCAACATTGGCCTGCCTTCCTGGTACGTTGACCAATTCTTGAAGTCATCCACGGCCCGAACAGTCCGTTCCAGCAACGCATCCGTGTCGCTATCGCGGCTGTGTATGCGGAGAGCTCTTTCGAGCTTCTCAATGACCACGATTCGCAGTCGCAGATCCGCATCCAGTCTGCTCCTGACAATTTCGATTTTGCTGTCATAAAGGGAAGTGTCCATCGTGCTGACTATCGGACTCTTTGGGTTCCACAAAGCGTCGCCTTCCGGTAGTGGTTCGTCGAGCATCTCCGTGATCACAAGTCGCAAATTAGACGCGCTCCGGACCAATGTATCCCGCAGTTCCTCTAGCTTGGCAATGAAATTGGTGTTTTCAGTGCGAACGTAACCCTTGCTGGCGGCCATTTTGCAGTCGTACTGTCCGAAGAAGAGCTTCATGTCCGCAAATATTTCCCTTTGATCGGTGATTAATTCGTCCAGTATCCTCAGCGCTTCGTGCCAGGACCTTTTCTCGCCTCGCGCAATATCTTTGATCAATTTCCGCGTTGATTTGACGTAGTCGCTATCGGGATCTGTGTATTGCGGATCATCTGAGCGGGGCGGGCTAAACCAGGTTCTTGATGATGGCAAATTATCCTCTAGCGGACGTCGGAACCCTCTAGCAGGGGCATTCACAGGGTCGCTCTCCGTCAAATTGTCAAGTAGCCTCGACATTCGTATCCTTTTCCTGAAACCAGGGTATGCTGTAGCTGAGAACGAAGCGCTGCTCCGCGACTCGTATCGCCCATGGCTGCGGATAGTCCCCAAAACCGAGGCTAGAGTTGGCGACCTGTGCGCCATGCTTCCCTGTCATAATATCCTTGGGCATGCCATGATCAGCATTGTTGTCTGCTCATAGTCACGCAAGTCAACAAGTGAAGTCTAGCTTGAGCTCATCGTCTCGATTTTCGGATCAAGGTTTCGCCGAGACGCGCCCTCGCCAAGACTTTGAACTTCTAGCCAGACCTGCTGCAAAACTTCGTTGCTGTGAGCCGGCTTCGATCAAGTCACCCAGGACGCGTTGCAACAATGTCTCGCTTCTTCTACGGCAGTGAAAGCTCGAGCGAGAGCTCCGAAGAAGAGGATCTCTATGGATCGGATGCGGAGGAAGAAAGATCCGAGGAAGAATCCGAAGAAGCATCGGATGAGGATGATTCGTCGGAAGATTCCAGCGATGAGGAAGGAGGAAAGACTGGAGCCAGTCGCTTCTTGAGGGACGACTCGGATGAGTCTGAAAGCGAGGATGAGGACAGGGTCACAGTCGTCAAAAGCGCAAAGGACAAACGCTTCGACGAGCTTGAGGCGATCATCAAACAAATCGAGAACGCCGAGAAGATTAATGATTGGGGTGTGATCGCCGATTGTGAGTTACGGAGAGCGGCATACTATTTGTCACTCATACTGACAGTAGGCAGTGTTTGACAAGATGAACAAACTTGTCCCAGTCCTTCAACGCGACAACAACGGAAAGCCACCCAAACTCTACATTAAAACCATTGCGGACCTCGAGACCCTCACAGCGGAGGCAGTTGAAAAGCAAAAGGTTAATCCGAAGAAGACAAGCAAGCTCGCTTCTCAAGGTCTCAATGCAACACGCCAGAAGATTCGCAGGAACAACCGAGACTTCACCACCGAGGTCGAGGCTTACCGCGCAGATCCCGAGGAGTACATTAAGGAGGAAATCATCGAGCAGCCTACGGCGACCGCCAAGAAGACCAAGAAGTCTTTGGATGCCAGCTTGGATCTTTCTGCAGACGATGGTGGTTTCACGATGGTAGGCGCGGGTGGCAAGGCCATGACATACACGCCCGAGAGCATCCTTAAGCACCTGAGGACCATTGTCGAATCACGAGGAAGGAAGAACACCGACAAGGCTGAGCAGATCAAGACCATGGAGAAGCTGCTGGAAGTGGCCGTGACCGACTACCAGCGCATTCGTGTCCTTCTTGTGATCGTCGCGACACGATTCGACCTTTCTGGTGGCACAGGCAACCAGATGTCTCAAGAGCAATGGAAAGCGGCGCAACAAGAAGTCTCGAAGCTGCTGGAAGTACTGGAAGCTAACACAAACATATTTGTGGTCGAAAACGCAGAGGAGTGGGAGGATGATGAGAAGCAACCGACGATTACCCCCGGCGAGACCTTCAAGATCCCGGGCAGCGTCGTTTCTCTCGCGGAGCGTCTCGACGATGAGCTCACCAGGGTGCTGCAAGCAGTCGACCCACACACTGCTGAATACGTGGAGCGCCTTGGTGATGAGGGCGCCCTTTACCAGGTCCTGGTGCGCAACATGATCTACTGCGAACGTATCAGTGCCGACAAGTCTCTTGGTATCGGCAGCGATGTTTCAAACCGTGCAGTGCAGCGCCGCCTCGAGCATGTTTACTTCAAACCTTCACAAGTCACGAACATTCTCGAGGAGAACGCGTGGAAGGCACTTCCCGAGGGTATCGATTCGACTATCACTCCGAGAGCGACAGCAACCGATGCTTTGATCGTCGTGAAGACGCTGAGCAACTTCCTATTCAAGAACAGTGACGGTATCATACGTGCCCGCGCGATGCTCTGCCAGATCTACTTCCTCGCCATTCATGACTCTTATTATCAGGCGCGCGACATGATGCTCATGTCGCATCTTCAGGAGACGATTGGCAGCTTCGATGTCGCCACACAGATCCTTTTCAACCGCACATTGACACAGGTAGGCCTGTGCGCATTCCGGGCTGGATTAGTGTACGAAGCACAAAATTCGCTGCAGGAGATTTGTGGCAGCCAGAGACAAAAGGAGCTGCTTGCGCAAGGTCTGCAACTGCAACGATACTCTCAGATCACCCCTGAGCAAGAGCGACTGGAACGTCAACGCCAGCTGCCATTCCACATGCACATTAACCTTGAGCTGTTGGAGTGCGTGTACCTAACATGCTCCATGCTGCTGGAGATCCCGCTGCTCGCACAGGTCGGCTCATCCCCGGACATCAGGAAGCGTGTTATCAGCAAGTCATACCGCCGGATGCTCGAATACCACGAGAGGCAAATTTTCACTGGGCCACCTGAGAACACTCGTGACCATGTGATGCAGGCTTCCAAGGCACTTGCACAGGGTGAATGGAAGAAGTCCACCGAGCTCATCACATC